TTTTCCTTCCAAGGTTTCTATTTCCACATCTGGAAGATAGGGATAATAATATATTCTTGCCTGCTCCCCAGAGGCATGTGGGATTCCAGCAGATAATGGGACTAAGCATAGCGAAGCCCTATCTGTATATAGATATTCTATGTAATCCTGTATCCTGGGGTCAGGGGATGGTGGGCACTTTTGGCAGCTCTCATCCCTACCACCCAACTCTGGACTTGATTTTCAACATAATCACTAGTTTTGTGCAGAATCGCTTAACAATCTCAAAACATCCTTATATTCCTGAGATGGCTAATAAATAGTAACTGGGACTAATCTACTTAGTTCACTCAAATGCTGTGTTGTTTTGTGTTCTTTATTGTGAATCATTAAAACATTTCTGCATGGTGTTGCTGTGTGTGTGTGTGTGTGTGTGTGTGTGTACCAGTGTTGGGGCTTGGCACAGACCCTGGATTTTTGCTAAAAAGTAGTGATATACCATTTGAGCAACAGCTATATTTCTGGGGTTTTTTAGTCACTAATTGGAGATGAGAGTCTCATGGACTTTCTTGCTTAGGCTGGCTTCAAACTTTCATCCTCAGATTTCAGCCTCCTGAGTAACAAGGATTGCAAGTGTGAGTCAGTGGAGCCCAGCTTGGTGCTGGTTTTTAAATTAATGAATACTGAATGTGTATGTGTATATGCACTTTATTTTAATATCTCATACAGAGAGTCCATGTTGCTCTTAGTTTTATACTAAGAATGCTGGGTGATTGCAAAGACTTTATAAAACACAGCACAACAATATATGAAGTATGCATTTTGGTGGGGGAATAATGAGTTCTTACTAGCAAGGTGAATGCTGACATTACCACACTCATTTTACAATTATGGAAACTGAGGGTCTGAGTGATGATGTAACTTGCTCAAAACCAACTAGCCAATAAATATTGAAGCTAGAATTTGAGCCTAAGTCTCAGTGGATCCAGTGTCCATTTTCATACAAGCACCTTCTATGCCTTGACTACAGAACCTTTGGCTGCTCTTGGACCCATGAGACCGCATCCCTTCTTCCACTTGGTCAATAAAAGTCTAGGATCATTCATAAAAGCATCATTAGGCATCCTTACTCAGTCTTCCTTGAAATTGGGCGTTTGCAAGGCAGGTTAAAGTGGGGATGGAGATTTGTGGCTGAGATTCAAGGTGTAACTTAGATCAAGAGAGAAGCTCTGAATGCTGATGCTGTCACATTCTGGGGACAAAGCAATGTGAATTAATCCAGTACACTACTTAGTGCCTCCTCCATGCTGTGCTGGAGCTTGAGTGCTCAGCACATGTAGCTTCTGCACCTTGTAAACGCTTGACAAGCTTGTTGATGGACTGTTTTTCCGCAATATTTAATAATTGTAACACAAGCACAAAGAGGAATAGTTGATATGTAACTTAAAAAAAAAAAAAAGCTAGTTAGGAGGTGGAGAGAAAATCAGGGATGGGGCTGTGCTTATTTACTGAACTCATCCTGGTGTCTGTGTGCCTATCGGGGAAAGCTTGGCAGATTCACAGAAGAAAAAGAGGCTAGGGGAAATTGAGGCCATCTTTGGTTCACTCTTTCCTTAGAGGAGAATGCGAAAGGTTTGACGACGTCTTTTCCAGTTTTCCTGGTATGTAATGATTGAAGCTTAGAAACCTCTGAGCTCTAGCCGCACTTATGCAGCCATTTAGTGCTGTCTCAGCTAATTATTCAATGATTGTCACAGGACTTTCCTTGGCCCCAATAATCCCCTTCCTCATCTTTCTTCCTGCCAACCTGAGACTTGTGGGTAAAACTTGGTGACTTTCAGTCACTGAAAAAGTGAGAAGATGGCATAGGTGTGTTAAAAAATGAAAATGCATTATTTCTCAGACTTTTGGCTAAGATTGAGTATGAAAATAAAAATGTAATGTTTTTGTAGTCTTGAAGTTTACAAAGCTTTGGCATCTATCATCTCATCTATTTAGATTTGATCTTCAGAACCAGTAATTTATGAAACAGAGACTCTGAGATAGCTACTTTACAGACAGGGACGGAAGCTCAGAAAAGGCAGTATGGACTAATCTGAGGATTCTCAAGATTTGGAAATCACAGAGAAGAGGAACAGGATATGATGTGGAGAACCTCGTTAAGGAAGACTTCCTGAAGGTGAGACAAGAGCTGAGTAGAAAAACATAATTTAAAACACTGATTAGGAAGTGGAGCCTGGCTCCAAGTGGTGGAGTACTAAACTTGAGCAAAAGAGCTCAGGGACAGCACCCGGGCCCAGAATTCAAGCCACGCCACATGTCCAACAAAAATAAATAAATAAACACTGATAAGATAAAGAAGGGGAGAATCCAGGTAGAAGACTTTGTAAAGGCTTTCAAGCACCAGGAAGACTGGAGCAGTTGACAAGTATAATAGTCATGATGAGAACAATGAAGACCCTGACACTGACAGTGAATAACATCTGTCCGTCTATCCATCCATCCATCCATCCATCCATCCATTGCTTACTACATGCAGATGCTGTCAGACACTTTCCTAAAAGTTTATCAACATTAATTCTCAAGCTTGCCTTAAAAGGTGTTTTTATTAACCCATTTTATAGAAGAGGAAATGAAGACAAAGTGTTTAATAGCTTGCCTATTAGGTCATTATAGGAATGGCATGAAGAGGTGACATTGATCAAGATGCATTGTACCTATAAACTGATTTGTTGAATTGAAACCCCTTTTTTTTTTTTTTTTTGTTGGTCGTGGGGCTTGAACTCTGGGCCTGGGCATTGTCCCTCAGCTCTTCAGCTCAAGGCGAGCGCGCTACCACTTGAGCTACAGCGCCACTTCTGGTTTTCTGGTGGTTTATTGGAGATAGGAGTCTCATGGTCTCTCCTGCCCGGGCTGGCTTTGAACTGCGATCCTCAGATCTCAGCCTTCTGAGTAGCTAGGATTACAGGCGTGAGCCACCAGCGCCCGGCTGAAACCCCTTTTATATAAGTACTTAAAGAGAATTTTTGAAAGGGGGGAAATGTATGAATGTTGTTCTAAGAGCCAACGGTACACATCTCTCCAAAAGACACACTTCAAGCTAGAAGCATTCTCGGTACAGAGGAGATAGGAACAGATTTGTGACTTAGAAAGTATTCTCTGAGGCAGAGTGAACCGAGGTTGCTGAGGTGGAAAGAAACTAGAAGCTGGCTAGGCTGTTTGTCCAAGGAAGACCTGAAGAGAGGTGTTGGGAATAGAAAGCACAGGGGTAAATGTATATCTCTTGTCACTCCCATCTCCAACTTCTTCTACCTGTAATAATAGACAAAATAATATGTTTTATTCTACCTGCTTCAGGAACTGCTTGAAAATTAATGGGGCAGAGGCCCGGCTGGCTTTCATGCGTCAAATACCACCCTTGTGCTCCTGGTGGTGCGCATTAAATGCTGAATGTATAAAATGTGCTTTGATGGAGGACCTGGGAATAATTATAGCTTGCTAATGATTGTTAATTTTACCACAGCTTTGGAACCCTGGACTTTCTCAGCGATTCAGAAAAGAGATCGCTATCCCTCCTTCCCATTAAAAGAGCCACAGAGGCAGACCAGTGATTTCTCACAGGCTCCATCCTTTCATTTCTTTTAGTGGTCCAGCTATGTTCGTGGGATCCGGAAGAAGAAATGTAGTCATTGCCCTTTTAGCTGGGTCTTGGTAGCCCAGGCCTGTAAGACTAGCTAGCTACTCAGAAGGCTGAGGTCTGAGGATCATGGTTCAAAGCCAGACTGGAGCAGGAAAGTGATACTCTTACCTCCAATTAACCAGCAAAAAGCCAGAAAATGGAGATGTGGCTCGAGTGGTAGAGTACCAACCTTGAGCAGAAAAATTTAATTGAGGACACAAAGCCCTGAGTTCAAGCCCTAGTGCATGCATACACACACACACACACACACACACACACACACACACACACACACACACACACACACACACACACACACACACCTTGTCCTTTTAGAATTAAATTATACAAAGACCTCACATTCCCTTACGGTCTTGGCTAGCTCTTTAAGAATGTGGCCTTTTTCACGTCTCTAAACTATGTAGAGACATAACGTTTTGTGTGTGAAAGATGTTTAACAGAACTTTTAATAAATACATTGGACACTTGTAATGCGCTGTTACACAGATTCTGAAGCACTTCGTTCCCAGATTTTTTTTCCCCCTTGTCTCCTAATAGCCAGGCGGAGGACCAAGACTTCTCCCAGGAATCAGAGGGGGAAGCAATGGCTTTGTGACTTTAGGTCTCTAAGCCTCATCTCAATGGATCTGAAAGATAGCCGGGGTCTGTTGGGGACGGATAGAAGGAGATGAGGTTTGCGGCTTGATATACTGTATCCATGTATGCTGTTTGGAGAACCTGCGTGCCAGAGGACGTGGAAGAGACACAGATTCCCTTGAAAGAACTTGAGAAAAAGACACTTGGAAAAGTAGATAGCCCGGGAGGGAGTCTGGGTGGGGAGGGGCGTCACTATCTTGGGCCCCACGTCTCAGTAAAACTGCTTAGAATCTCAGCCAGGGAGAACCAACAGCCGAGCGGCCGTGCAGGGCGGGTGCTCCCGGGGTGGGGCCGGGCCAGGCCGGGGTGGGGGTGGAGGAGGAGGGCGGGAGCTGGCTTGGGGTGGGTGGGGGCGGGCCCAGGTACCCGCCAGGTGAGTATCGGTTTTTCCTCTGCCCCGCTTTCGGTCGGGAGGAGGCGGGGGAGGGGGGGAGGAGGGTGGAGTCAGTTTTCCGGGGCCCTGATCCTATCGCGGGGCGGCGCGGGGTTGGCGGGGCCCTCTGTGGGACCGCGAGTGGGAGCCACGATGTGTCACCCAGATACCATTGGGTGACTGGCGGCAAACCGGCCGGGCCTGTCGGGCCGAGTATAAGAGCCCCGGAGGGAGCGGGCCCGGGTGACAGACGCCCGCCAGACGGGGCCAGGCTGCGGGGATCGGGAACGCGTGGGACCCGCTTCTCCCTCCCCTCCCCTCCTCACAGCTTCTCCCCGCTCCGAGCGACCTCGCCCGCCTTCGTCCGGTCCACGCGCCTTCTGCGCCCCACCATGGCCAGGGGCCCGGGCTCCGCGCTGCGGCCGCTGCCGGCGCTGCTGGTGCTGGCGGCGGTGGCCGGTTACGCGGCCTCGCAGACCAACTGCACCTGTGCCACCAACAAGATGACCATCTGCGGCCCGGACGGCCCGGGCGGCGCCTGCCAGTGCCGGGCGCTGGGCTCGGGCGTGGTGGTGGACTGTTCCACGCTGACCTCCAAGTGCCTGCTGCTCAAGGCCCGCATGAGCGCCCCGAAGAGCGGCCGCGCGCTGGTGCGCCCCAGCGAGCAGGCGATCGTGGACAACGACGGCCTGTACGACCCCGAGTGCGACCCCCAGGGCCGCTTCAAGGCGCGCCAGTGCAACCAGACGTCCTCGGTGTGCTGGTGCGTGAACTCGGTGGGCGTGCGCCGCACCGACAAGGGCGACCCGAGCCTGCGCTGCGACGAGGTGGTGCGCACCCACCACATCCTCATCGACCTGCGCCACCGCCCCGCCGCGCGCGCCTTCAACCACTCCGACCTGGACGCCGAGCTGCGGCGGCTCTTCCGCGAGCGCTACCGCCTGCACCCCCGGTTCCTGGCGGCCGTGCACTACGAGGAGCCCACGATCCAGATCGAGCTGCGCCAGAACGCGTCGCAGAAGGCCCCCGGCGACGTGGACATCGCCGACGCCGCCTACTACTTCGAGAGGGACGTCAAGGGCGAGTCCTTGTTCCAGGGACGCCGCGGCCTGGATGTGCGCGTGCGCGGGGAGCCCCTGCACGTGGAGCGAACGCTCATCTACTACCTGGACGAGAAGCCCCCCGAGTTCTCCATGAAGCGCCTCACCGCCGGCCTCATCGCCGTCATCGCCGTGGTCGTGGTGGCCCTGGTGGCCGGACTGGTCGTCCTGGTCATCACCAATCGTAAGAAGTCCGGGAAGTACAAGAAGGTGGAGATCAAAGAACTGGGGGAGTTGAGAAATGAACCGAGCTTGTAGGAACAGGGAAGAGGGGACGGGGGGGGGGGGGCGAGTTTGGCAGGAGTGGGGCGAGGGAGACACACCAGATGTGGGTGACCCCCCCACCCCTCCTCCCCAGATCAAAGTGAGTCGCTCATCATGATTCCTGACCTAAAAGAGGTGTTCTCCCTTAGGGCCTACCCTCTCCTACCATCTCCAGGCGCAACACATTTGCTGAGATCCTGGATTCAGGGTCTCTTCTTTCATATTTCTTGAAGGAAGCATTTCTAAAAGCACCCTGCCTTCCTTTGGGCCCAATTAGAAATCTAAGTGGGGAAGGGACGGCCCAGTCTTAATGGGTCAGGAGCAAGTGTCTCAGACCCAGAGTCTTTTGCCAGTGGCTGGATTCCAATCCATCTCAAAGGCTCACATGAGTTCTGCTGGAAAGCAGTGTGTCTGCTTCCTTGGGTTTAAGTCATCAGAGGAGTTCTCCTCCATCTGACCTTCCCCAGGGAAGAGGTCTTTGCTAATTGTACCTGTGTCATGTCCTCATTCACCATGGTTTATATTACTGACCAGGTCTGCTGGCCACCAGGAAAGAAGCTGGTTTCTGATGCCAGAACACATTTTTCCATGTCTTTTGTTGGAGGCCACACTGGCCCAGAAACATGTAATCATTCCTCAGCTTATCTTTAGTACAACTGAAATTAATAATGTTTTCTTTTTGTAAAAATGTGTGTGTGTGTGTGTATATATATATATATATATATATGCTGTCTTTGATAACGCTGCTGTGATTTTTTAAAAAAAAAACAACACAAAAAACACGAATTTAATAAAATACAAGAAAACCACAAACCCCCAAGATGGAGTATGGGGAAACTTCTTCCAGATTTATGCTACTTGGGTCTTCTCTGTCTTAATTTTCTCACGACTTGGGTTTTGTATTTTGAATTCTACCACTTCTTTGCAGGAACAACCACCTTCAAAGCTACCTTCACTGGTCAGTACAAATATTCTTCTTTGTAAATAAGATTATCATTGGGGGTGGAGTGGGATATAGTTCAGTGGTAGAACACTTGCCTGGCATGCACGAAGTCCTGGGTTCCATCAGCAGAGGGTGAGAGTTAAGGATGATTTAGAAACTTCCTTTAAAGTGGGAAAGTAGGCCAGATTCCTTGGCTATCTCTGATCATGGATTTCTTACAAGTGGTGATGAAGAGCACCAACTTGTTTTACAAGCAGCCTCTCCTTTGAATCCCAGCCCTGTGTTGAAATAGGAGGTAACTTTCTCATTTAGCCCTTGGGCAAATTTCTTAATCTCAAAGTGTTGTGGATCTAGAAGAGGTTAAACAACTATAGCTGGTCTGTAGTGGCCCTGTGATCTGGCTGTGCTTATATCAGATTGTTTCTCTAAGCTTTTATTAGTAATATACCTTGAAGACTTATATTTCCTATTTGCTGTAAAAACCAGCCCCAGACAACTGTAGGCTTATTTTCTCCTTTTCACTCATTTATATTCATTTATGGGAAGCCAAGTGTGTACTGTAGGATAGCCTAGAAGGAAAAGAAGTTTCCGCATACCACAGAAGCAAGCAAGGGGAAAGGGGAGGGGGGAGTAGAAAGAAGGGAGTGGTTGGTATATCAGATATCATACAACTAATAAACTAGACCCAAGACTTCAGTTTATGCCCCAGAAATGGAATCGATGTTGATGTCATGTCCCTCCTTACAACCCACTTCTGCAGTCTATGTTGACATACCCCATGCCTACAGTCCATGCTAACTACACCATGAGGACGAGGGGAGACTCTGATCCGGTCTTCTTGGCACTGTTTGGTTATAAAGCTTGGGCCTGGTGCTGGGCTATGGTGTTGAGACACTTTGGGTCTCATGAGATCTCAACATCTGCTGTTGACCAGGCTGTAGAAGGACTGTCCTCAGTCCTCAAACATCCTCTCAGGCTAAAATGAGACTTCCTAAAAGAAGGGGGCTGATGCGGGATGGTGCCTTAGAACCAGAAGTGCCCGAAGTTAGAGATAACAATGAGAATGAGACTCTTAACTTTGTGGTTTCCCCTTTCTGGGTCACCCAAGTGCCTTTAACAGGTGGGATCTTGGCAATCCTCTAACGCCTAAAGTTCCCATGGCACAAATGGGACTAGAAAACCTTCTTTCTAGAGTCACTTCAAACAATGATCACTTGACTAGAAAATAAACAGATTTATGACTAAGAAGGCAAACTGAGCTGAGGGGCTGCTCACTCAAGCCCTGTACTCCATAAGAATATCACTTCTGTGCAATATTTAAGTTTCTGGGCTAATTCCTCACTAGGATTTCCTGCATTTCATAACACTCACCATGGAAAAGTGCTTGCATGTGTATGATCTTCAAGATACTGACTTACCGGAAACTAGAAACAATATTGATAAACCTGAGTTCAAATTTTGCTCCTTTTTGTGAGGGAGTCTTTTTTTTTTTTTTTGGTGAGGGAGTCTTGTATCTCCCCTGTCTTCTCAACTATTAAATGAAACTACTACATCCTCTCTTGCAATGGATGAGAGAGTTGATATAAGTGCTTACAACAATTTGGGTACTATATTTTTCTTCCTTATTATATCTATGACACATATAAGAAAACTGAGGTCAGAAGAGATTGATGAAACCCATGAACTCACATTCTCTATGTGCTATAAAGCCAGAGTTAGGATCTTGGCTTTAAGCTCCCTGGCCCAGGTTGCTCTCCCAGACACTAACAGGTAGAGATGACTTTCTTATCTGTATCCCCTGAGCAACTCATGCTTCTGCTTTGTCTTTGCTGAAGACAAGTCTTCCAGCCTGGCTACCCTCAGGGCTCACAGTCCACCTTCAAAATCCCACCTCTCTCCCAAATTTACCATTCCCTGTTTTGATTGAGCTCAGGCCTGGGGCTGAGCTTGGAAGGAATGTGAGAAGCCTTTGCTGCTCAGCCAGCAGGTTGCAGCTTGTTTTCTGAGCCTCCAACAGGCTTGTGACTGCTCTCTCCTTCAGTGGAACATTTTGTAAATGAATCCCTCTTCCTTTCTTACCTATTTTGTAACCTTTAGAGCTGAAAAGAGGACCATTTAGGGTGCAACACCCCTATTTTATAGATGAAGAAACTGAAGTCCAAAGATGAGAAGGGATGTACCCAAGTCAGGCGGCTGGAGGTGAAATTACTAGAGTTCTGAAACGCTGACTCTGTTCATCTAGGGTTCATGTTGTGTGACTTGCTCGTCTCTTATGTATTTCATTTTTAAAAGATATTTTTATTATCTCTATGTAGTTGTACAAAGGAGTTGCCATTCAACAAACCAGCTTATGAATACAGTGCATCTTGATCACTGTCAACATTCTCACCCATCCCTCCCCACCCACTCCTTCCCTTATTTTTCTTAATTTTGTGGGATATGTATTGAATTTTTAAAAAAAATATTTAACAAAGCAGTTTGGGAACACTGTGCATTGTTTTAATTTTTTTCTCAATCATTTTTCTTAAGTTGTGGTTATTCCTTAGCTTTTAAAAAATCACTAACCATGAAGAAATACTTTGGTTAAATGTAAAACGGATGAGCTTTGATGCTACCTGACTATTGTTTTCCTATTTATAAAAGAGGCATGACTTTATCTAGCATGCTTGATTTTAAAGATCACGTGTAAGCTCTGAAAAGACTGATCATTCAGTGAATATATCCTTCCCATTTGAGCTACAGCAAGTCACCCGAAGGACCTGGGGGGAGGGGGGGAACTCACTAGTTGTGACACATGAACAATGCTTCTACTCCACTTGCTCATGAGAACACCTCTGTTCCTAGACCTCTGCTGTTAGAGAAGCAGGAGCAGACTTGGAAGCCACCTGCCTTCAGAGGCCTCCGTGGCCCACCTGGTTTGTATAACATAGTTGTGGTCAGCCAGGTGGTACACTGATTGCCAACTATGACCTGGGAATCAAACGTCTTTCTTTTTAAGCCACAGAGTTAGCCCTAAAATCCCAAGGCCTCCAAAATCTGAACCTTATTGCATGCTTTCATAAAACCACAGTGGAAAATTCCACACCTGAACTCATGTGACTAGCCCCAGACAAAACACAAGTGTACTAAAAAAAAATTGCATAAAATTACCTTCAAGCTGTGTATGGAAAACATAAGTTTAAACATTGTGTGTTTAAACTTGGGTCACCTACCCAATAAGCTCATTGTGTACATACAGATATTTAAAATCTAAATTTGAAAAAAAAGAAAAAGAAAATTTGAAACATTTCTTATCCCAAACATTGTGAAGAAGAGATCCGCAGTCTGTATTTTATTACTGACTCTCTTTAAACAGTATTTTAGTTTAGTTGTTTCCTTTACTCCTTTATTCTAATTGGCATGTGTGACCATATGATTCCTGGAGGAGAAAATTCAGAGGTTAAGAAGTTAATTTTTTTTTTGCCCCAGGTCACACATTTAGTAAGTGGCACAACTAGAATGAGAAGGAAGGTAAATTAGCCTTCTAATCCATGTCTTTAACCAACACACTGCATGCCTCTTGTTTATAAAATTGCAAGCCACACACAGAAATGGAGAGACAAAGGGTGAACTCACTAGACGCTATGTTGAAAGCGAACTATACAACTTGTGGGTGTGGATGGGAGGGGAAAAACTGGGGGAAGAAATGGGTGACATTGTCAAAAGTGTATTCCTTACCTGACTTATGTAACTCTAACTCCTCTGTATATCGCCTTTATAATAACAATATTTAAAAATATTGCAAACCACAGTATACTAGTTTTCAGTGGCTACTTCAACAAGTTACCCTAAACTTAGTGGCTTAAACAATATGCATTTGTTATCTCACTGTGCCCTAGTTCAAAAGCTCAGCACAGGTCTCCCAGGGCTAAAAGCAAGTGTCATAGAATTCTGTCCCTTTCTGGAGGACCCAGGAGAAATTCTGTTTCCAACTTTCCCAGGTTGTTGTCAGAATTTAGGTCCTTTCAGTTATTGGACTACTTGGAAAAATAGTGACCTACTAGTGTTCACCCATTCTTGTGTTCCTCAGTCTTCAGAGTCAGCAATTTCATCTCTGCCCTTCTTTCTTTGAAGATGTCCCCCTTGTAGGAACTCATGTGATTAGATGGGGCCCACCCAGATAATCCAGGTTGAGACGGATTGCCAAGATCTGTAACCTGAATCACATCTGTTAAATCCCTTCTGCCATGCAGGATAACATATTCATAGGGTTCTGGAATGAGAGCATTGGCACCTTTGGTGCAAAAGGACATTTCCCTTACCCACCTTACTTTTTGGGGTTTGTCTATGCCATCTTGATATACAATAACAGTGTATTTTGATTATTTTTCCACCTCTGAACAATGTCTTTTCTTCTCCCTCTCTAATCCCCTCAAACAGTTCCACAATTGCAAGATTGTTCTATGTATGTATATGTAGGTAGGTATTTAAGCATATGTTTATCTTTTTTGGTCTAGTATTCACATATAAGAGAAAAATGACCTTTTTCATGAACCTGGATTATTTTACTTACCTTGATGCTCTCCAGTTCCATCCATTTACCTGCAAATGACATCATTTTTTTATGCTTTATGGTAGAACTAATACTTCCAAGTGTGGTGGTGGTGGTGGTGGTGGTGGTGTGTGTGTGTATGTCAAAGCATTGTGATGTTTTGTGAAGCACATTCTCATATACTACTGAAACTGTGTGGTACAGAAGATGGAAAGAGGTACTGAACTATGTTAGCCACAGGTAATGGTTCTGTGTGTGTGTGTGTGTGTGTGTGTGTGTGTGTGTGTGTGTGTGTGTGTTTGTGTGTGTGTGTGTCCTGGGGCTTGAACTTGGGGCAGGGGGAGGGCTGGGCACTGCCCCTGAACTTTCTGTGCTCAGGGCTAGCACTCTACCACCTGAGCCACAGCCCCACTTCAAACTTTTTTGGTGCTTAATTGGAGATAATAGTCTCATGAACTTTTTTTTGCCCAAGCTGACTTTGAACCACAATCTTCATAGTAGCTAAGATTACAGGTGTGAGCCACCAGCACCCAGCTAAGTAACAGTTCTTAATATCTAGCTGTGTGATCTTGAATATGGTAGTTCATCTGGCCAAGCATCACATTAGAGCCTTATTCTAGCCAATAGTCCACTTGTATTCTTATCCCACCTGGGTTTGACTTGGCCTGGGAGTAGCTGTAATGCTATGGCCTCCACGAAGGAGGTGGTCACTCTGAAACAGTCACAAGTCGGGCTTCCTATGTCCTTAAAGATGTAGAGCCCAGGCTATTTATTTGTTCTTTCAAATAATTTGTCTTACTTTCTGCCCATAGTTTTGGGAATATAAAACAATTGGAATAGATATGGTTTACTGACGTTGATGTTCACTTGTCATTTTCTGGTCTTACCTGGCATTCCTGCAACCTTGCCATGGAGGGAAACAACCCGGTCAACATGAGTCCCTGTGGGAGG